CGCGCACCTTCCCAAGTCTTGAAGGCATCGCCTTCCGAGGGTAGAACGAGTAAGGTGTCCAATTTAAGCATTGGTGGCCTGAAGCGCAAGCGAAGTTTGTGGCTTTGCTTCGAGCTTGAAGGTGAAGGTGAAAGGGCCCGACCGTACAGTCAGAAAAGATCCGCTAACGCAGCGTAAAGCAGCTGCATCGAGTGGTAGTGACCGCGGCGCCGCTGGCCAGCGGATGAAGAGCGCGCATAAAGAAGCCAAGGGAGCAGAACTGTAACCTGCTCTAGCGCCCCTTTTGAGCTGCAGTAGAGGACAGCCCGAGTGCATCTGACCTGAAAGGCTGACAACGGCAGCTGAAGGGCAGTGCGAGTGAAGCCATATACAAGGCCGCATGACAGAAACGCAGGTCAGGGCTTCGATGAGACGTCAAGCTTGAGTGATGGAGGTCGACAGATCTCAACAGGTAGATCTCGGTGTCGGCTGCTGTGCGGCGGTCAGTCGCGTCATCGCGTTGGCAAGCGCCAGGCAGGGGCGGGGCGTGAGGGCAGGTTCACGTCGAGGAGCGTCTGATGCTGCGTCGAAACCGACCTCCGAAGATTCTGCGGCTCACGTGAAAGGCGACGCGAGCGCTGTCGATGCTGTTCACAGCTAGAGTCTGCGCTATGCAAATGAGAAAGCATGATGATCGGACCCCCTTGCCGCGTCTGGACGGAGGTGGATGGATGGAGGGATGGATGGATGGGATGCTGTTGCCGCACAGGCCACACATAGCTCACTCTCATGCAAGAGCCGACGCACGTGCCACAATGCCCAAGCGCCAGAAGCCAAAGCTGCTGTCACTGCCAAAGCTACGCTGCTGGAAGCCAAAGCCAGTAGCTATTAGACTCGGGGTGATGGAGAAGAAGGTGTTGCCTACATCGGATCCACGCTCAGTACAGACGATCTGCGCCAGGCGCCATGCAGGCTTTCACGCGCCGCGCGACTTTCCTGCCCCCCGCGCGTTTGAGCTACCGGACGCGCATGCATCGCTAGCACATGCAGCTGACGACTTCACGCGAATCCTTCGGATTTCCGCGGAAATTGACACTGCGAGAGAAAATCCCCAACCTCGCGCGCGCCATATGCTGGTCGAGAGCTGCATGTATACGGCCATCATATGCAGCGCGCAGCGCACGAGTCACGAGTGCAAGTTGCCCCTCTGCACGCGCTTTAAGCCCGAGGTATAGCTGCTGCGATATGCAGGCTAAGGCGGGTTCTTGTCTGCCTCGAGCGCAAAGCACTCGTTTGGTCTTCTGGTCGATCATCACCCCTGCTACTGCTACGGCAGATGCTCCTACTCGCAGGATTCCGCTTGTAGCCGAGATCAGCATTGCTTCCATCTGCAGGCCTAATCAGCAGACTTGCTCGCATGAAGATGCAGAGCATGCGGGAACAGAGCACCTCTTAGTGCGCTGGATGCGCTATCTCTGGCTCCGCTCTAGGTCCTGCGCTCTGCGGCAATTGAAGGTACATCATCTTGGCCTATCGGTGTCAACTGCCCCTGCCTTCTTACCAGCTCGCCGTCCCCATGACAGTGATGGAGAGCAGCATGAGGCTCGTCGAGAAGCAGTCCCCTGCAACCAACATCCGCGCCATTTGACTATCTTCGCCACCTGCCATGCAGCACAGCTCGCCCGGACCTTCGTCTCATCGCTGCAACATTGTCGACCAGGGTTTTCACGAAGCTTTGCGAAGTGAGTTGAGAGCAGCGCTGACAATCGGCCGGCCTGCTCCGAGGGGCGAGTGTGGCCGCGGACTGACTTGCCTAAGCTACATTGGGCAGCGCGCACGCTCACAGATCCCTACAGACCAACGAGATGTAGCGGTCAGCTTTGCCTCAGAGAACCGCGGCCGAGCATTCACAGGATCTCTTTTGTAGCATCTTTTCACACTTGTCGGGTCCACACGAACCCCGAGCAGTCACTTCCAGCAGCCGGCATCCACAAGCACTACTTGGGAGACAATGCCGCCGAACCCTCTGTCTCCGCGCTCGCCTCGATGCTGGGCAGCGTGCACATGCATCTCAGTGCTTTAACAGAGAGCACAATCTGCCCACAGCGCACGCTGCAAGAATCGAACTTGTCGCACAGGAGGCGGTAGCCGGCCTCGAGGGCAAGGAGTATGTCGGCTCATCAACCAGTGACCAATACCGGGATACCAAGCGATTTGCAAACAACGTCAGCGCAAGCGCCAGTGCAGGGGGCCATGCTTGTATGAAGGATATCGCTGTGGCTCAAGCAGAGACGGAAGCTCCTCGGCGATGCAGCATCAAGTTGTGAAGCGGGCATGCACACGACGCTTCGCTGAGCTTTGAGGTGCGCCAAAGGTCCAGATACTCATACGTCGGCTGCACGCTTGGGTGGGCGAAGCTTTTATTGATTGGAACACAGGGCATACACGGAATCTAGAGCTTAGTCAGGTCCGTACAGAACCGGGAGCTCTAATTTGTTAGGGCAGAGGGCATAGACGGAATGTAGGGTGGAGTCAGGTCCGTGCAGAATCGGACGAGAACGAGCACGGCGAGGAGGTGACTTCTGGAAGCCAGACTGCTTGCAGGAGCTAGGTGAGCCGCCTGATATTGTTCTCGCCACAAAAAATGTTGCTCCACATCGACATTTTGCTGAAGCCTCTCCAATTCGCGCTTCGTGGGCGCCTATGCTTGGCTTTGGTGGCTGTCCTGAGAGATGCAAGTATCGGCCGAGCTTCGAGTCCAATATCGACCAGCGTGGAGCCATCATCACCAAATCATCATGGTGCACCACTCTCGTGCCCTGAGCTCGCACGGATAGCCTCTTAGGGCTACTAGCAGGCGACCTCTGCGGCTATCTGCTGCAACGAACCAGTCTGTATGCTGCCTCATCCTGCGAGCTTCTGCATATCACGTCATCCGCCAGGTTCGACATCGGTGTCTGGTCCTGAATGCTGACCATCAGACGCAGGATGCGACTGTTCCCGCCCATTCAGCCTCGATCTCGACGCGATGCTGGCACGAAACGACAAGTCCCTGCAAGGACCCGTACATCGATCAGCTTGGTGCCTGGCTTGCAGCTTCACTCAGCTCCTATTTTGGTGCTGCACATCTCACCCAGGGCTCGTCACGAAGTCTAGAGCCAAACTCATCTCCACGTCGACTTCAGAGCTCAACTGGCAGAAGCACGTTGCGATTTGTGCTACAAGCTGATGGCACACTTGGACCAGCAGTGCTGTCCTTGCTCGAGATAGAGTCAGAACCGTCTGTGCCTGCGGCACGATGCAGTATCGAGCGTTCCACGACATCATCAGCGGCAAACGTCAATCCCCATCGGCATCCAGTACCCGGCCTCATCGCGCTGTTGCATGCTGACCAATCTCGAATACAGTTGAGCTATCGGTGTATGTGCCATGGGTGTGTGCTGGCAGAAGTCAGTCTGCGTTTGGAGCGCTTACATCCGCAAGCCGTAGGAGCGATGTGGGCGGCTTCGCAATTCAAAGCCGCCAGCCTCGCTCCGCCATTGATTCACTGCCCTTTGCACAAGAATTTCTTGTCAGCTTGCTGGTCACAGAGAGCGATCGCCCGATACCATTACGTCAAGGATCCTCCAAGTTGGGACGAGCTGTCATCGCTTTCGATGCCTTGGTGTTTCGCGCTTGCGCTGGCGCATTCTACCATCGGAAAGGATGGAGGGAGCCAGGCTTCTCGAGGGTCCTTCTCGAGACAGGGGTTATGGCACAAGACCACTCGAATGAAAGAGGTGAGTAGAGACAGAGGGTAGTTGGTTCGCAAACGGTCGCGCCGCGTCCAGAGGCAACGCTGTTGGAGAAGAGGTCGAGTCTTGCGTTGTAGAGCAATGAAGTCGGCACCCATCGTCAGCAGCGCCTTGCCCTGAGAAAGCTGTGGAAGAGCGTGGATCTGCTCAAGTGGAAAGATTTGGCCGAGTGTGCCTGGAACTCAGAGTTGGCTGACATCTGGCCGCATCATGTCCTCTGATCGCGACAGGTCTAGATCTTTGCCTCTGGGAGCTTCAAGACGCAGCCAACATCGTCCAGTTTCATGATTGCGTTGAAGAGCTTACCTAGGGGTCGTGTGCAAGTCGTCCACGAAGAGCAGCAGAGCGGCAGCGTGCGGTCACTGATTCAACGGCCTCGGGCGCTTCGGTACGCTCGCCGTTTCTACGGTCTCCGATGAGCACGCGCTCAAGTGGCAGCTCCAGTGCTGAATGGCTTGCCGAAGTGACTCGTCCGGGCTCTCGAGCAATCTACGCCGCACGCTGGAGACAAGGAGTCGACGATTCGTTGCTTGGGTTGTAGAAATTAGTATACGCTTTGACCCCTAATAATGTCGTGCTCTGGTGAAACGAATAGCACGGTGTGAGCTCGATCAGAGGAAATTGACGTTGACGTCAGTGGCTGCGACTACGTACCTCGTCCAGCGAAGCCAGCCAGGAGGAATGGAATAATCTTCCTCCACCGGGGGCCAGTTTGGAGGTGCTGCGCCCGTATTACTTCCCCCCATCTCCACTTGCTCCCCCTCCTTGTGGATGCCGAGCCCGATCATTCCAGGGACGGCGCCGAAGTTTGGAGTGATCGGTGCGTCGCTTTCCGTGTCATCTGCGTGTCATAAGATGTGCATGTCAGTGGCAAGGTGATACGCTTTTGCTGAGCACCTATATGACTCACTCTGGCTTGCCACGTCATCATCCAGCTGGGAGACTTCCGCGTTCTCCCCAGCTTGATCATTCCCTTGGTCGAGCTCGACCTCCTCCTCCTCCTCTTCCTCCTCTTCCTCCTCCTCCCGCTCATCCGTCTTTCCCTCGCTACCCTCGTCTGTTCCGGCATCTTCCTCATCGTCTTTCCCATCGTCTTTCCCTTCGTGAGACCCGCCGCTCTTGTTCTCGCCCTCGGTCCGCGCTTGCTCGCCATCGAGCTCGGCTTGGGCACTGGACAAGATTGCCTCGCCCCAGCACATGAATGCCTCGTGGTTGTACCTATCCCACCATTCCTCTGACAAGAACTCCACACTTGCTACCCCTGCATCCTTTTGCTTCTGGAGAAAGCGCGCGCTTCTGCCTGGCGACTCGGGACTGTCTAGAGGTCGCTTGCGCGACAAATTGTTCCCAGGTTGGCTGGACATGGTCTGTTCGAAAGCGAAAGGGGCAGGTAGAGTCAGTCGTGAGGCGTACAAAGGGACAGATCTGGCAAGCACTGACTTGCGGGAATTTGGGGAGAGCCAACTGATTCGAGCCTGTTCGTCCCTGTATCCAGTTTGCTGAGCTGCTGAAGCTGAAGCTGAGCTTTCTTCGATGATAGTCGAGATGCTGGGGAAAGGAAGCGCAACAGTGACGTCGTGATGAAGCACAAATGTGTTGGGCATCGATTTGGGAGGGTGCGATGTGAGGAAGGGCAAAATTGAGACGGGCGAGGGGGCTGGGGAAAGGGGAGGTGTGGTCCGAGCGAGACTGGCGAGTGGGGGCAATGATTCCTGCATGCACCTTGACCGTTGAGCATCGCGCTTGTGGTTACAAGGCAGGCAGCCTGCTGATTCGTGAATCAAGCGCAATCAAAACCGGACGGCGCGACAGCAGCAATACGAGGTCATCTGGCGCGTACAAGCCTGTTGTGACGGGTGAAGCAGCCATGCATGGTGAGGCGGTAGGAGGCAGAATCGAGTAGGACGAGCGGCCAACCCTTCGAGAAGATGCACCTATGGTAGCGGCTGTGCGGGCTTGAAGCTGATGCTGCTTGCGACTGGACTCATGACAGCGATCGAAGTCACGAGTGGATGAGTGTGGCGCACAGTCAGAATGACGCATACAGCTCAACGGATCGAGTCGTTGAGCATGCATGCAGGGAGGCGCACGGACGCGCTGCGCCTCGAGCCGGCTTCATCAATTCACGATTTCCACCTACTGCGCGACCCAACTCGCACTTGTGCCGCGTATCTCACCGCCATTCACATTCACGTGTATTGTGATTCCCGCGGCGCGCGCCATTTTGAACGTTGCGACCTTTGAGCCACGAGCGCTGGATCATGACTGTAGCCTCAGCTCGAAATCGAAATAAGCAGAGCATAAGTTCGAGCCGAATTCTGATTTGCTCAATGTTGCAGTCGTGAATGGGGCATGAATGAGAGCGTTGCTTTGCTTGAACCCAGCTGTCCGCGTCTGAAGCTTCTTTGCAAAATAGCATGTTCAGAGCGAGAGCCTGAACAAGCTGATTCGATGCTGCAGTCGTGAGTAGTCTTGAGTCCGTTGACGTAACAAAAGCTCAAACATAGGCGCAGAATCAGAATGTTGCTAACCACGCCTGCGTAACATGGCCGGTGTGTACGCCTGGAGGAGGTGCAGCTGACCGCACCACCTCGCGCTTCGTCTCCTTCGCGCCATTGCGGCATGTGAGGCTCGAGCTAGCGATCACCGAGCAACAGCCTTTAGTCGTGAGTCAAAAGTCAACAGTCAAAAGTGTGAGTCGTGAGTCGAGTCTTGAAATTTTGAATTGTGGATCTTCACTGTCGAATAATCTCGAATGTGAATCTTGAATTCAGAACAAATCTTCAATCGTGAATGTGTACGATCAGGAACCGTTAATGTGAATCATTCTTTCATTCGTGATTGGCGAGCCAAGAGACAGAAGAGGAGGAGAGCAGAAGATAAAGAGCTTCCTAGGTGACACCCGAGTGACTAAGAATCACTCACGTGATTCAGACTTCAAAAGGCGGTTCATGCGAATCACGAATTCTTGATTGCGAATCAGAATTGAATCTAGCATCACAATGTATATAGACCTCAGCCTGGACAAGGCCAAACGCATGGTCTGCACTCCGTGATGACACGCACTGAATGCACCTGATGATGCGCATGTCTGCAGAACCTAGCATCACACAGCACTCACATCGCCGCGGTGTACTGATTCATGCCCATCAGTCAATCTTGATCTGCAATTTCATACGTTGCGGGGCTGCTCCAGCGTCTGCGCTCTAGACTCTTTGACTCGCATTTGAGCTCGAAGAGTCACGAGTGACGTGAGTGAGAGACCTCGTAGGCCCAGTTGGCTTCGTCCTTTGCTCTGCATGTCTTCTCACGTGCCTTCCGCCGCTGCGAGGGCAAAATTTATTCGGAGATGTGTGCATATAATATTCGGAGATGACGGCGTATATTGCCGTACCAAAATGCGTCCCACAGTCTCAGTACGGCAAAATGTGCCGTACTAAGCTTTCACTGCGAGTGTGTAGGGTTAACATGCAATTTACATTTCTAATGCATGCGCACGCGTTGTAGTCATCCAAATACAAAAAAGTTAGGGTGCGCGCGCGCAGTGACTGAATACGGGCGCATGCTTTGTATTTAGCTTGATTACAAAGCGTGTGCGCGCAGTCAGAAATGTAATCTTCAAGGCATTTTGTACTTGGCTTGATTACAATGCGCACTACCGCGCACAATACGGCAATTATTGCCGTATAAGTGGCATTTTTGAAATACGGCTTATTTTGCCGTACAAGCAAAATGTGGTACGGCAATATACGCCGTCATCTCCGAATATTATATGCACACATCTCCGAATAAATTTTCCCCGCTGCGAGTAATTTTTGGCTCAGGAAAAAGCACGTGATTGCACCAAAGTCTGGTTCATGCCTCCAC